GGGGGCAGAGGCGATGGTGGCGGCTGGGGAGGCTGTGGGGGGAAAGTGTAATTGCCTGCACATGAGTACAGGCCTGCACAGGTGGGTGGGTGGGGAGGAAAACAGAAGAGAGCGGCGTCAAATCCAAAGCGCGATTCCCGCCACAGGGGCGTGTATGGCAGTGGTAAAGCGCATGCATTCCAGCCCCACGCAGGCAGGTAGCTAGGCAAGGCATGGTTGCCTGCAAGCGCAGGGGCGGGGGGCAGAGCAGCCAACCGGTGAGCTCACCCGTGTGCTTCTCCTGCCACAACCAACCAGTGCCAAAGGTGACGCGGCGCCACGGGTTATACTCTGCAAGCGTCTGGTCCGCCGGGAAATCACCGCCAATGACGCAGTTGCCATCATTCTGCAGGGGCGGCGGCAGGCGCAGGTCACAGAGAGGCCGCTTCACGGAGGCCCCCCAATACTGCCGCGGCAATGGCAGCACACTCCTTTTGGGAGAGGTTGAGGTGGGGTGGACAGACAACCAACAAAGAAAGGGAACGGCCCACTCACGGTGGTTGTGTCGTGCGTGAGTTGAAACCACTTGCAGCCGTACGTCAGGCGGCACAGCTTGCAGCAGTCCTGGGGGGTTATAAAGTAGCCTGCGGGAAGGGAGGCAAAGCGAGGCAGCAGGAAGGGTGCCAGCAGGAGTGCTGTGAGGACATGTGAGCCATGGAAGGTTGGGAGTGACCGCGGGCCTGGTTTGCCGGCTGGCCACGACATGGCTGGCAGCGGCAAACATGCGGGCAATGCAGGGGCCAATCTGGCGCGGCCCAACCAATCCAAGCTCCAGGCTCGACTCACCAACGCTGCTTCCATAAAACTCTGTCAGGTAGGAGGTGCGCGCTGCAGCAAGCAAGGAGCATGCGCCATCAATGGGGGAGGCCCCACTCAGCCAGTCTGGCAGCCGCCACCAAGCGCAGCACAGAATGCGCCCAAGGAAGGAATGCGACAGCGAGCAGGTGGCGGGCGTAACGCACCCATTCCACCAATGTAATCCCTGAACACTGTGTTGAGGAAGACCTCGCACTCGCAGTCGGGCAGCGGCGGTACTGGCGGCGGCGGCGGAGGGGGTGGAGGCGACGGTGGAAGGGGCGGCCTTGGCGGAGGCCTGGGGGGCCGAGGGGGCGTGCCGCCGCCGCCGAAGCAGCACTGCTGCAGCTTGCGGTTGCCAAGCTTCCGACCGGGTGCGGTGTCTTTGCTGCTGCTGCCGAGGTCGTCGGCGGCGGCCCAGAGATGGGCTTGCAGACCGTAGCGCTCGCGCATGAGGGCCAGCAGCGGGTGCTCCACCTGAGGAGAGCCCACGATGGCGTCGCCCTCCTCGGCCACCAAACCCCACTCGAGCGACGGCAGCGCCGCGGCCAGCACCTCCACTCCGGCCATCTGAGCGCCTGCAGCAAGTCCAAAGTAGCCTGAACATCAAGAAGCTGCCGAGCAGACCGTGCGGGAGGCCGCGCGAGGGCCAGTCGTCTGGTGCCTGCCGTCCCACCCCCCCCTTGAAAGCCCAGTGCCGGAGCCTTGCCCGGCAAGGGCCTGCCGTGCATGGTGCACGTGCAGAGCGCCGTCCTGTGCCCGCAGCATAGCCTGGTGCGGTGGGCCCACGCCCCGGCCACAACCCCCGCAACACCCCCAAGCACCTGAATCCGCGAGCGCGGTGCACGCCACCAGTAGGACGTACACCGCTACCCACTTGACTGGGGTGGGCTGCCTACACAGGGGCATGGGGCGCTCAGGGGCCCAAGCGTGGGCCTTTGATTGTGTTCAAGTGCAGCAGCAGCAGAAGAAGAAGTATGACACACTTCGGGGGAGATTCGCCGACCGGCTGGCAAGGCGCCGTCACAGCGCGCCCGTCACAGCGCGCCCGTCTGGCCGCCAGATGTCATGGGCTCTAGAGACGATGCGCAGGCACAAGGCGCCAATGCCAAGTAATTACAAGGCCGTTCCTTTCCACTGCTTTATCATCATATCAGGGCAGTCAATCAGTAACCCTAGCCTTTGCTTGCTTGGCTTCGATTGAGCAGGGTGACGGAGTTCAAGTTGCAGACTTGCAGTCGGTACGCCACAGCAGGGAACTCGCAAAATGCGCTTTGCTCTGTCAGCCAGTAATGCACCATCATTGAATGGAGCTGTCCAGTGGCCAATCCCAACTGGCAAACTATGACGCCGCATCATAGCAGCTTCTTGGCCTCGAGGGCTGCGGTATGGGAGCACAGGCAGCCCGACATGTCAGCTCTACGCGTGATGCACCCGCAGCAACCGCATTCTCGGTGCAGCAAGGCGGCTGCCCAGTGTCGACTGTCTCCTGGTCCAAACCTAAAATTCCTCACCTGTTCTGTAAACCTCCTCCAGCCCCCGCATGTCAAGCAGATCCAAGGCCGAGTCGAGCGCAGCACGCAACTGGAAAGCAAGGACGGGCGGGCCTGGCACGCGCAAAGTAAAAGCCTGCCCCGCACAGCTGGCATCATTTAGTGGTCAGACCGTGTGCCGCTACATCCGTCTACATTGGGATGGAGTGAGGACATGCTACGCACCCGAGACTTGGCCTGGGTATCATCTGCTTCCTTGGGGGCCTTGCCGGGCGACTTGACAACGGATGTGGCCTTGGCCGCCGCCGGATCTGTGCCAAAAAAAATGGGCGGGTGTAAGAATGGGTCCCACATCGGAAGCCAATGAAGTGCCCCCCGTCCTCCCACAGGTATGCAAAGTGCAGACCTGCTGTAGCCTTCGCCTTCTTGCTTGGCTGCTCAGCGGGTGCCGCTCCTGCTGCTCCTGCTGCTGCTGCAGGGCGAACAGCATCCGCCTTGCGCTTGGGGGCCGCCTTGCTGGTACTGCCTGCTTTGGCATCCTCTACCAGCCACTGCTCAATTAGCGAATCATCAAAGAAATACTTGGCATCGTCATCAGGAAAAGTGACGAAGTGCTGCACAAGGGGGAGTCGTACACGCGTGGCGTTTACTAGCGCGCGGCGTTTACCAGGCAGGCGTGCGCGGCGTTTAGGGCCCCGGGCTGCTTGATTCAACTGTTCTAGACCAGAGTAAAAAAACTGCGCAAAACTGCCACTGCCTCCCACCCGAAGGGCGGGAGCGGCGGGCGGCGATAGCACCTGCACCGATAGCATCTGCAGCGGCAAATTCAAATCACCTGCGTGGAGCCCTTCTTCTTGCCCACCGTGCCATGGAACCCAGCCTGGCCCGCGGGTAACGGGTAGCCCGGCCAGAGGCTGCGGGGCGCGCATACGACTGCGCCGCAAAGGGGGTCTTCCCTTTTTGGCTTTTGGGGCGCCATGTGCGTGCGATCAGCAGCACTTTGGACGATGAGCGAGCAAGAATAAGAGGCCCTAGACAACGGCGGAGGGCAAGGCTTCAAATTTTAGCAGACTGTAGTAGTGCGGCAGGGTGTCTTGTGTGGTGGAAGGGGGCCAGAGGCCGCCGAAAAGCCCGATTGGCGCCGCCCTTTTGTACCGCCGCCCTTTTGTACCGCCGCCGCATGCCGCCGGTGCGAGGGGCTTGCACCCCCGGGTGGCTGAACTGACTGATGTGGAAACGATTGTTAATGTAGGTACAACATTCTTTTTTACTCAAACATTGACGGTACTGCCTGTTGGACAAAACAGGCTTGGTAGTACAGCGGGGGCTTCATCAGCACTCCGGCAGGCGGCGCAGCACGCTTGCCACGGCTGAGTGCAGGTCCTCCAGCTGCTCTCGCAGCTCCTCACACAAGAAGACAAAGCTGAAGAAAGACACCTGCAGACGAAATGGAAGCATGGTGGGTGGGTGGTTTAAATGGGGGATGCGTGAGTGGATGGGCATGCAGGCCCCTTCCTCCCCTGTCACGTGCCTGGGCCAGCCTTCCTTGCGTGGTATCTGGGAAGAGGGCGAGCGACATGCCGCCGCCGGTGTTGAAGCTGACGCCTGCGCCCTGCCGCAGCATCGACACACGCGACAGCAGCGGGGGCGCCGAGTGCTGCCCCATGCCGCCGCCACCCGCAGTAGGCACCTCTGCCAGCCCGCGGCGTTGGGACGCGGCAGCGGCCAGGCTGGCTGACTTGACGGGGCTGCTGCAACGGCTTCCAGCCTCGCCGTTTGTGGAGACCTGCTGCGGCGCCTCGTCTTTGGCTACGGTGGCGATGGCGGCGGCAGCGCCGGCCGCAATGTCGCCGCTGCTGCCACCCCCAATCCTCCCAGAGCTGACCCGGCGCAGCCAGCCAGCCAGCGTGGCCTCCCGCTGGTAATCCTTACTGTCCTCTCGGACCACTGCTACTCCTGCTGCTGCTACCGCTGAGGAGGCCCCCTGGCCACTGCCGGCCGCCCCAGCAGGCGCCTCTGCCTGCTGCAGCTGCGTGGCCGGAGCGGCAGGCTCCCCAGCAAGCACCTGGCCCTCCATGCCCTGCACCATCGTGTCGAGCTGGCTGCGCTGCTCCTCCAGCACAGAATCGATGATGTTGGCCCAGCTGGAGCGAGCGCCGGCCCGGCTTCTGCAGGCAGGCGGAGGGGCCACCAGGGCAAGCTCACCCGACCATGCCTGATGTTCTGCGCAAGAGCTTGGCAGGCCAGCTTGCAAGCAGCCAGCTCGCGGTGGTCAACACGCAGGGCACGGTTCCCGCAATCATGTCCCCCATTTCCACCTGTGCCGCTTAAACGCGCCCGCCAGCCGCCGCCGGTTCTGCTCGCTCATCGCTGTGAGGGACTGGACGGCGGACGAGTAGGCAGCCAAGCCGGTGCCTCCCACCTGCTGCTCCCCGGAGAACGCATCGCACAGCTCCTGCGGGCAGGCAGGTACGCAGTGCATGGCATGGGATGCAGCAAGGCAGGCTGAATGCGGGGAGGGGAGGGATGGGCAGCAGGGTGGCAAGCAGAACCGCATCGTTGTAGCAGTGCAGATGCTCCGCCGCGCGGCAGCATGGCGGACGTCCCCTTGCCTGGATCGCGGCGTGGGCGCCGGCCGCCAGTGTGGGCAGCAGGGCCACAGGGTACATCGGGCCCAGCACCGACCGCAGCTGCTGATCAAACCCGTCCTCAAATGTGTAGATGGCGGTGTTGAGGATGCGCCCCACACGCCTGCGCCGCCGTCCAGGGGAGCGGGGAGCAGGATGCCGTTTCACCGATGCATGGGCAAGGGAGGCGGATGGAGCGAGCGCGTGCAGGGCAGCTGGCCAGACTAAGCAAGCATAAGCCATAGGGAGGTGGTGTGAACACAGTGCTCCCGACGGCACTGCCAGCCAGCTCGGCACCTGATAGCAGTCGCAACCTCCTCCAGCCCCTTCCATGGCAAGTGGGTGGAATGCGGGTGCCAGAAGGGCAGCCCCGGGAGGAGGAAGGGGCGGCCGCCGCAGCCAGACACCCAGATCTCGGTTTTGGCCAGTGCCAGCTGCTCGGCTAGCTGGTTGAGCACAGCGTAAAGCTGGGTAAGAGCCTGGACAGGGATGCAGGCACCATGGGGGAGTGAGTGGTCCCGAGTGCTTGTCAGATACATGTGTGTAGGAGAGCGTACGGGCGGCAGAAGCAGCCCCTTGAGGAAGCAGAGGCATTGTGCGGCAGCGCAGCGCACACCCTCACCTTTTCAGACTTGAGCTCATGCACCTCAAGTTCCGCAGGGAGCATCCCCGACACACAGCCGCTGTCCAGCCGCAGGCCCAGCGCCGCACCGCTCCACGCCTGCCCAGACTCGACATCCCCATCGCCGTCGCCAGGTGGCAGCAGCGGCTCGGACATGGCAGAGTCATCGCCGTGCGGGCGGCCGTTGGCCTGCCGTTGCTGCTGCCGGATTACGCCGCCGCTGCTGTGCTGCTGTGCTGCGGTGGCTGCTACCAGCTGCGCCGCCTGTGCTTCCCCTGGAAGGTAGCTGCCCCAAGCAATGTCGTTCACCTCTTGCAGCTTGTCCAGAGCCTTGCACAGCCTGCACAGCCAGCAGCGTAGCCCGTCGGGTTGGCCACTCAACAACCAGAAGGAGAAGGGCGGGCTGCCAGCCAGCAGCAGCGATGCACACAAACTCCACCCCCACTTGCGTCCCTACCCCCCCCTCGCGTGCCGCCGCTGACGCCGTCACCCACGTGCGCAGCGCCTCCACTGTGGCCGACTTGGGCAGGATGAGGACGCTCATGATCAGCATCGTGGCCACGCCCGTCACAATGCCGCCCACTCGAGAGCATGCCACCACCAGCGGGTCTGCAGGCGGGCGGCAGCTGCGCATCAGCTCGACTGGCCGGAGAGCCCTACATTGACGCCAACCATTTTTTCCTTGTAAAACAACAAATCCCTAGGCCTTCGCCCCTCCACCGCATGCTCACCCCGCCCCTCCTGCGAGCTGAAGCAGACCAGGATGAAGGCGATGGTGAAAAGCTTTGCCGACAGGTCGAGCGACAGCCGCTGGCCGGCCAAAACGCTGACAAAAGCGGCGGTGCCGGTCATCGCCGCCAGCAGCAGATCATCAGTCTCGCTGGGCTTCTGCAGCAAGCAGCACGGGGGAGAGGCGGGGCGGGAGCAGACGGCGCAGGTTGGCGGGCTGGAGTTGGGCGGGAGCGGCGAGGCGACGAGGTCCATAGGGTGCCGCAAGGTTGGCATATAGCTGCGTGCATCACGTTCTGCGGGCGGCATGCAACACCCCCGCACCAGCGTCCACCAATGCGTGGCCAGCGCGGTTGCCCAGAAGCCCAGCGCGCCGCCGATGATGGTCCCCAGGGCTCGCTCGAAGCTGACTTGGCTGACCTTGCCGAGTAGCGGCATGGTGACGACCGGGCATGTGAGGAGGGCCCACTTAAGCAGCATGACGTAAGGCTCACAGCCAGGCCTACCCACCAGCGGGAAAGCCACAGCAGACAGCAGCAGCACCGCAACTGAAAGACGAATCGCCCGCCGATAGTGGTCGGGGACCTGCACCGAAGCAAGGGGCCCGGTGCAGCGAGGTAGAGGGGAGGGTGGTAGCGGCGGCGGCCGCACTGCTGCCCACCGGCACGTGGCCTGCCCATGCAGCAGCATGCGGCGCTTGGGAAGCCTGCATGCGCCCTGTCAGTGTCCCTGCACAGCGCACGCCTGCCGCCGCTCACTGTTCGCTTGCGCCGCAGCAGCATGGCCGCCGTAGGGCCCGATGTGGTGCGTGCGGGGGCTCCTGTGAACTTCTGTTGACAACGCTCACGCCACGCCGGCTCACTCTGCTAGGGTTCCCCTCTGCCCCGCCACCGCAGCGTACAAAGCAGGGCGGGAACTTTCTCCACAGTCATCCACAGCCAATACCCGATGGCAAGGTCCATGGACGTGCCGTACCCGTCAGGCGAGGTCCGTACGGCGATGATGTGCTGTTGAGGAGAGCTGACAAGAACTGCTTCAGTCCTGACGGGATGCAGACTGCTGGATACAGACTGCTTTACACTGCTCCCCCAAGGTACGGGCCCCGTGGCACAATCCCGACCTCCTCACTTCATCTCCAGGAACAGCGCCTCCTGCTTGGCGCTGAGCCCCGCCTCTGCCAGGCTCTGCTCCGCTGCGCCATCTTCCAGCACGCGCCGCGGGTAGGAGGTGGCCAGGCTGTAGCTGCCCGGCAGGATGTCGCCACCGCCAGCGCCACTCTGCACATCCACAAAGTCGAAGACCGACTGCAAGGGCAGGGAAGAGAAGAGAGATCGAGGGCAGGTGTGTGCTTACAAAGGTTACCGCATTGTGTGTGGGGTGAAGGTCACAGAGGGACAAACAGGCATACATGCCTGCCGTGACAAGCAGCTGACCATCCGACCTCCAACCCCACCTGCAGCTTATCGGCGCGGCGGAAGCGGCGTGAGTAGCGGCCGCCCGCCGGCAGACGGATCGCCAGGTTGACGGCGTCGGCGTCATCGGCCGCAGGCTCTGGCGGCAGGCTGGCCGCCTTGCTGCGAAGCTCGTGCTCCAGCCTGCGTGGATGAGAGGTGGTCAGGTTGAGCTTTCACTCGGGCAGTATGAGAGCTCAGAGAGGCAGCTGATTAAGCGGAGCAGCAACGCCGCAAGTGGTCGCCCGGCGGCCAGCCGCCAGCATACCGCTCTGCCTCTTCACGCTGCCGCCGCTCCTCTGCCTCAGCCGCCTCCGCTTCGAGGCGCGCTGCCTCCTCCACTTCACGCTGTGCCCGCTCCGCCGCCTCCTGCTTCTCCCTGTCTGCACGCAGCGACTCGTAATATGCAGCATCCTGCACAAAACATGCGATAAGCAATGCTCAATGGGCAGGCAGGGCCAATTCTAAAACAAATGGAGTAAACAGTCTCCCTGCACGGGAGATGCTCTTTCCTGCCTCCAGCCCTGTGGGCCTGGTCCGCCTACGCCTACCAGACCAACACACCTGCTCCTGCCTCAGATCCTCCCGTGCCTGCGCTCCAGGCGACATGATGCGTGGCTGGTAGCGCGGATCGTGGGCAAAGTCTGCAGGGTGCAAGTACGGTCAAGGCAGGTTTGAGGAGGAGCATGACTGGGATGAAGAGCAGTGAGAAACATACATTAGCGCTGAAGATGGATGGTTAACACAGTCGAGGGGCAGCCATGCTCTTCTGCCAACTGCCCACCTGGAATCTCTCCCTCATACCCTCCCCCCTGTATGGCGGCCATCAGCATGCGCTGCTCCTCCAGGTTCACATCCGCCGGCAGCTCCGGCACCTCGCCGTCGCCGCCAAATGCTGCTGGGTCCTGCCCTGGACCAGGCTGCTGCTGCTGCTGGAGTTGCTGCTGTTGCATGGTGGGAGCAGGCTGGAACTCAGCCATCACGCCAAAGCGCTGGCCTGCAGCAAGCGCTTGAAGTGGTGTCAGCAGGGCAGGGGGGGTGGCAGCCAGCAGAAGGACGAGCACAGCTAGCAGCCATGCCCCCATGCCTACATTCCTGCATGTGTGCAACGGGCTGCATCCCTCCCATCTCACAGCGATGAAGCTGTCACATCCAGCACCGCCGTGCCCAGCAACACCGCAGCCAGAACATATCGCGCTGCCCCACCAGCACCCACCCAGCAGCTCCAGGTCTCTATCCATCTCGCCCACCACACGCCGCCGGTTGCGCCGCACACGCCGCCCCTGGCTCCCCACCCCCAAATCATCCTCCACCGACCCCACTGGGTGCATGCGGTCCTCTGCGGGGTAGGGGCAGGATGTGCCGGAGCAGCAGGGGTGGGGCCAATACGGGGGCAGATTGGGAGGGAGGCGGGCGGGCAGGCGGCAGCAGGCAGGCCAGCAAAGCAGCAGCGCGGGCCTAGAGTCCTCATAACTTCTGCTTTGTCTTCAAAAGGGCATGATATCGGAGCTGCTGTGCACCCAGCACAGGCAATAGAGGCAGGTTGTTCTAACTGGTAAAAGAGCCGAACACCCACCCTCCACCACCTCCTCTGCACGACTCGACCGCCGCCGCCCCAGGCTGGTAGCCAGCACTTGGATGTCGTCATCGTCATCATCTAGGATCTGCAGACCACCCAGCAGCCGTGGGCGGCATTGCAGTCAAGGCCCAGCGGCATGGAGCTGCGACAGTTTCGGGCCGGCCGCTCACCGACACCGCCGCCTGATCACGGCAGCGCGCACCTCGATGGGGCTGCTGCGGGGCCTGGCCGCTGCTGGCAGAGGCCTGCTGCGGGACCTGGCGGCCACTGGGCCCGGCTCCTCCTCAATCACGTCTGGCTCCTCGACATAGTCTGGCGGGCTGGCCGGCACTGGTGGCCCCCCGTAGCCCACTCCGCCGCTTTCTAGGTAGAAATTGATGGCGGAGTCCAAGTCCCCGCCGAATGAGTCCAACAGATGGCCGGCAACCTGGCCATTTGCGCCAGTGAGTGTGACAAAGGTCGACAAGGCGTCCTCCCGATCCATGACTGCTGCCGTGCAGTGTTCACGGATGCCAGATATGCAAAGGGAGGGCGTTTCGTTGCTGTCCTGCCACATGGCGCCTCCAGCATGGCGGCCAACGCAAAGGGAGGGCAGCAGCACATTCTCCCGAGCAAAAACGCAGTTGCTACCACTATACATGAGGGTGCTTCACTAGCTTCATCCGACCATCCTCCCATGCATGATGCACTGCTGATGTGACCCCGCTGTGTCTTCCAACATTTTTACAGAACATTCTGCGTCGCGACATGTCGGCGGCAGGTGGAACAAACGGGCTCATTGCGCTTTACTTGTTGAGCATTTGCAAACACTCCCCACCACACATGCAACGATAAGGAGGTGAACTGGTGGTGATCCTTGGACACCGCCGCTGCTGCTGCCTCGACCACGCCGGCAGCTGGCCCCAGCTCATTCAGCCTATTGGATCTGACGCTGTCAGGAGGAGGGAATCCCGTAATGAGAAGGTCACCTCTGGATGGGCTGTATGCGGAAGTGCGCGCCAACGAGGGAGAACACCAGACACTTGAGGTCCTGCATGGGGTCACCCAAACCAAATCCGCGGGTCAAATTCAGCGTCCGGCGCCTCCCAGGCGCTCCCAGGTCCCCAAATGCTCTTTGAAAGGTAAAGGGAGGCGCCCGCAAACATCATCACTGCCTGCCCGACGCCTGCCTGACGCTCGCCCCCGGGCCCACCCGCCCACCCATCCAACCTCCCGTTTTCCCACCGGTCCCAATTGTTTCTCCAACACCCACCTGTACCAGGTAATAGAACACTCGCAGCCCCTCCGGGTCCTTGCTGCTTTGCACCTGCAGGCATGGGAGGCAGAAGCAGGTGCAGGCGGCGCGGTGGTGAGCACTGACAGCCTCTGCCACGATGCCTGCTACACCTGTGTGGAAGCCATCCTCGTTCGCTCAGCCACACACACGCCCACCTGCAGCAGACTGCCCAGCTTGGTGGTGGCAAAGGAGATGTGCTCGTTGCCCATCACCACCTCCAGCTCCTGCCGCCCCACACGATCCGGCGGCGGCCAGTTGGAGTCGTCTTCCTTCATGATCTGCAAGGCGAGTGGGTGCCGCCGCAGCATGGCAGGCCAGGTCAGCAGCAGGAATAGCCAACAGGAAAGCTGCAAACGGGCCGCCCCAGCTGCCACTGCATCAAGCATCGCCTGCCCACACGCTGCCGTACAACACATCTCGCTTGTTTTCTGCTGCTGCTGCTGTCAGTAGCGGGCGAGGGTCGGTCTCAACGTTTTTACAGCGCGGAGCAAACCTACCTCGCTGTCCTCAATTATCCGCTTCAGCTCATCCAGCACCGCCTGGCTGACAAAGCACTCCTTGCGGATCATGGTGTCGTTCTTGTAGTTGGAATTGTTGGCGTAACGCAGCTGCAAGTGATCATCGGTGGTGTGTGGGGTTAGACGAGCGCACACGGCAAGGCGGCACAATCATGGCGGCGCCACCATCGCGCTAGATCACACCTTGCCGTCTGGCCTGAACTCAAATTCTAGGAACTCATGGCCGAATTTTCCCTTGTGGCCCACATAATACCGAATGTAGAAGTCGTCCCCGCTCATCGTGTGTCCCACAGGCTGCCGAGGCTGCGCGGCGGCTGAAGGCGGTGCTCAGGAGCCGCAAGGCGGCTGCTGCACGCGGCAGGGGAACACACGCGGCAGGGGAAAGGGTGCAGGGTGCGCGGGAGATGTTGCTGGGCGCGATTGCTGCCGTAGGGCTTCCTGAGCGCGTGGCAGGGCGGTAGGAGGGCGTTGAAGGGTCAATGATGCCTGCCAACGCTGCGGGACGCACTATAGCGCTGTGGAAAGGGCTTCGCCACGTTGCACGCTCATACCCCACACTGGAGCCCGCAGTTTCACACTAGGCTCGTAGATCGCCCGTTGCAGCACACCAGGGGAGCCCATCGCCAGGCATCACTGCTGCCATCTCTCTGGTGGACGTGCTTCCCTGCAGCAGGGGAATTCGCAGTCCAGTACTTGCACAGGCCATCACAAAGGCCTTCACAGCGCCCTGGCAGCAGGAGCGGGGTGCATCGCAGCAGCGGCTTGCACTTGGGAGCTGCACTTGCCTGCAAACCAACGGTGCGGGCTGCTAGGACACCAGTGTGAGGCGCTGATGGACGCCAGCAGCTGACGGCTGCCACCTCCCACTCGATCACCTGCGGCGGCAGCAGGCGGGCGGCACCTGTGCGCTCCACAGCAACACTGCACAGCAGGCGAAATGGCTGATGGTGACCTGTACGATGAGTTTGGAAACTACATAGGCCCCGAGCTGTCGGAGAGCGAAGAGGTGCTGCCTTGCTGCAGGCAGCACAGCGGCGACGAGCGGCTGTTCGTGCAGGCCTGGCTTCCCTGCATGCCTGCTTGGCGGTGCTGCCTGGTCTGTGGATCACTGCTGCTGCGATGATGGTCTGGTGCCGCAGGAGGATGAGGAGCTCCAGCAGCAGCAGCTGGAGATGGAGGGTCCAGGTTCGGAAGAGGAGGAGGCAGCTGAGGCGATGGATGAGGATGGCCGCATGCCCGGCACAGACCTAGCACTATACGGTGGGTGGAGGGGGCAGGGGTCACGGGGGGTGCAGCCGCCTGCAGGCGCCTCGTTGGGGGCCAGCCCTTGGCCGCTGCCACCCCTGGCTCGCTGCTCACCCCTGCGCCGCGGCCTGCGGCATGCTGGTGCAGGCGAGGATGGCGGCGGCATGGCGGTGGTTCTGCACGAGGACAAGAAGTACTACCCGACCGCGGAGGAGACGTACGGCAAGGAGACGGAGGCGCTGGTGCAGGAGGAGGATGCGCAGCCGCTGGAGGTGCCCATCATCGCGCCCATCAAGCAGAAGAAGTTCCAGGTGGAGGAGTCGCAGGGGCTGCGCAGCCGCTACACGCCCGAGTTCCTGGGCTCCCTGCTGGCCACCCCGGAGCTCATCCGCTCCGTGGCAGTGGTGGGCCACCTCCACCATGGCAAGACGCTGGTGAGGCGCAGCGCAGGGGTGCGAAAGCGGGGGGGTGAGGCGGGCAGGCATCCGGCGGGCAATTTGCCCCTGTTGCACCGCCCCTGTTGCACCATCATTCCTACCCCTGTCCTCTGGCCCTCCCTCCTCCGCCCTACCACCACACCGCAGCTTATGGACATGTTTGTGGAGCAGACGCACGAGCTGACGGCCAGCCAGCGGTCTAACGAGCGGCCCATGCGCTACACTGACACGCGGGTGGACGAGCAGGCGCGCGCAATCAGCCTGAAGAGCGTGCCCATGAGCCTGGTCATGGAGGGCAGCAGCGGCAAGTCATACGCCATCAACCTCATAGACACGCCTGGTGAGGCCTGGGGACGCCCGCCGCTGCGCTGTGGCTCTTCCTGGCCAGGATGTGGGGCTGGGCTACAGGTTTGGGCAGGAGGGTGCGCTGGCCACACAACCATCCCTGACTTTGTGGCCTCCCCCCACTGCTGTGCTGCCTCATGCACTCTGCACCCACCTGCGCCTGCCGACCCTCCCGACCCTCTTTCTCCCCGCCGCAACCGCCCGCAGGCCACGTCAACTTCTCTGACGAGCTGTCGGCGGCGCTGCGCCTGTCTGACGGCGTGCTGCTGGTGGTAGATGCTGTGGAGGGGGTGATGGTGGGCACGGAGCGCGCCATCAAGGCCGCCGCCGCCGAGGGCCTCCCCATCTGCCTGCTCATCGCCAAGTTTGACAGGTGCGAGGCGGCGGGTACCCCCTTCCCAAACCCTTTCCACGGAAGCGCCGTGCCGCTTGCGTGCCAGCTAGCGGTGACTCGCAACCCGTGGATGCCTGGCCCTCGGCCTCACGCGCGCTGGCCCCTGCTCCCGCCGCCACGCCTTGCCTGACTGCCTCCCGCAGGCTGCTGCTGGAGCTGAAGCTGCCACCCACCGACGCCTACCACAAGTTGCGGCACACGATAGAGGAGGTCAACACCCTCATAGCCACTCACTACGGGGACGATGAGCAGCACCTGGTGCGTCCGCTCAGCCTGCTGCCTCGACCACTCCCTGCGGATTCAATGCTTGTGCTTGCTGCACTCTGCTGCACTGCCGATTCCCGAGCTGTGGTCTCAGCTGTGCTGCTGAACTCATGTGTGTGCTACCCTGCCCGCAGGTGAGCCCCCTCAAGGGCAACGTGGCTTTCACGGCAGCGCTGTACGGGTGGAGCTTCACGCTGGAGAGCTTTGCCACGCTGTACTGCGAGGTACATCGCTATGCCATTGGGTGGCTGGGTATTGCCAGCCGCTGCTGACAAGTGGCAATCATGTGTGTGGCGGGGAGCAGCCTGTGGCCCCGGAGGGGTTGCCATGCAGTTGCTGTATTCCCTTTGCCCCTCCGTCGTGCCAACTGGCTCCGCCTGCCTCGTCTGCCTGGCCGCAGGTGCATGATGCCCCCATGGACCCAAAGGAGTTCTCCCAGCGGCTATGGGGGGATCGATACTTCAACCCAGGTACAACCTGCAGCAGACTGGCACTTCTGGGGCACATTTGGACTGTTGCGCCGCCCGGGACCCCCCCCGCCGCTTCACTGCTGCTGCTCTTCATCCTGGCCTCATGTGCTGCAGAGACCCGGACATTCGCCAAGAAGGCGGGGCCCTCTGCCGGCGAGCGAACCTTTGTGCAGTTTGTGCTGGAGCCGCTGTACAAAATCTACGCGCAGGTGCGGTACTGCCGGGCGGGACAGCTTGGGTGCTGTGCCGCTGCTGCCGCTGTTGCATCTGGCACACGCTCTGGCTCTGTCCCCATCCTGACGGGCAAAGTTGCTTTGTGTCCAACCCTGCCGCACTGCTCAGACGCTCCGGCACCTCGCATGACGCCCTGTTTACACTGTCGTTGCAGATCATTGGCGAGGACGAGCGCTGCGTGCGAGGCGTAATGGATGAGTTTGGTGTGGCGCTGCGGCCAGACAGCTATGGCATGAATGTGAAGCCGCTCGTCAAGGAGGCATGCAGGTGAAGCCTTGGGCCACAGGGCCAGCGCCACTGGGACATCACGCCTCGGCTTGCTTGCTGTGCAAACCCTCGCTAGTGCCACTCCTCCCCCATCCTGCTGCTGACTGGTCTGCTTCGGCTGCGACTGTTCTGTGCCTGCAGCAAGATTTTCGGCAATGCTGGCGGCCTGGTCGACATGCTGGTGGGGTGGGTGCCCTCCGCCAAGGCCGCCACCGCCACCAAGGTGGAGCGCTGCTACACAGGTGGGTGGGCAGGGGTGGTGCCAGCATGGCCAAGCTGTCAGCTGGCAGCAGGCAATGGTTCATGTCTCCAGCAGCCGCGAATTTGCTCAGCCTTGACCATCCCAGGCAGCAGCGGCCTGCACGCCCCCATCCACTCATTGCCCCTCGCTGCCCTGCGCAGGCCCCCACGACAGCCAGCTGGTGGAGCACATGCGGGCGTGCAACCCGCGCGGCCCGCTGGTCATCTACATCTGCAAGCTCTTCCCCAAGCACGACTGCTCCCGCTTCGATGCGTTTGGCCGCATCATGAGCGGCACCGTCAAGCCCGGGGACAAGGTGCGTGGGTGTGCGGTTCACACGGTGGTGGGTGGTCGGGGTGGGGAAACATGCGGGGGGCAGGCAGCAGAGGCAGTTTGGTGGACAAGCACCGGGTGCCTGGTCTGGCTGCTTGGCCACCAGTGCTGCCGCTGCCGCTCACCGCAGCTGCCGGCCCCGTCTGGCGCAGGTGCGGATACTAGGCGAGGCATACACTCCAGACGATGAGGAGGACTCGGCGGCAGGCCAGGTGCGCGTCCCACTGCTTCGCTGTCGCCTGGGCGGCAAGCAGCACAACCAAGCAACCAGCTGGCCCAGCCAGTCGCAAGCCACAACCTCTCTGGAAGCAGCAACTGCTGCCGCCTGCCCACCTCCTGCCTGCCTCCCCTGGACTGCACGCCCATGCCCCCTCCCCTTATCACCCACCTCACCCACCCACACAAACAGAGGCATCTGCTTCTCCTGCTGTTCCTCTGCTGCAGGTCAGCGCAGTGTGGGCGTACCAGGCACGGTACCGTGTCCCGCTCAACAAGGCGGTTGCGGGCAACTGGGTGCTGCTGGAGGGCGTGGACGCCACCAGTGAGTCCATGCCGCGCCTCGCCCCCAAAACACGCACAGCACACCTGCACCTTGGCGCCCCTATTTTGTTTGGCCGCCACAGCCCTTAGGCCTGCAGTCTCAGCTGGCCCCGCCGGCTGTTTGCAGCACGACAACAGCTGGCTGGGCCCCTTCACCTGTGTCCCAACCCGCGCTCCCTCCGTCCGCCGCTCCCCGCCCCGCCCTGCCGCAGTCACCAAGACCGCCACCATCGTGCCTGAGTTCCTGGATGAGGAGGTTTACATCATGAAGCCGCTGGCCTTCTCCACGCAGCCCGTGGTCAAGATTGCCACCGAGCCGCTCAACCCCTCCGAGCTGCCCAAGATGGTGGGTGGGAGCGGGTGGCTGGGCTGCTGCCGCGGCGCTGGGGCCTGCCTCGTCTCGCCCTGCGCGGCCGATGCCTGCGCTGCGGCCTCTCTGCCTGCGCTCCATCACCCCGCCCGCTCCCCTTTTGCGTGCCCCGCTCCCGCCCACATCCACTTTCACGTCCTGCCCTGCCCTCCTTGCCACGTTCTCCCCCTTCCGTGCAGGTGGAGGGCCTGCGCAAGGTGAACAAGAGCTACCCGCTGCTGGTGACCAAGGTGGAGGAGAGCGGGGAGCACACGGTGTTTGGCACCGGAGAGCTGTACCTCGACTCGGTCATGAAGGTGGGCAGGGTGCGGGGCGGGGGTGCCAGGCTGGCGGCGGCATGACAAACACACAGAGTGTTTGTGTTCGGCGGGATGCCGCACGTGTGTGCAGCCCTTTGCCAACCTGCACCACAGACGCCAGATGCGCGCGCTGAGTGCCACATGTCCACCCATACCACCCCCTGTCCCTGGTACTGTGGTACTGCAGGACCTGCGCGAGCTGTACAGCGAGGTGGAGGTGAAGGTGGCGGACCCTGTGGTGTCCTTTTGTGAGACGGTGGTGGAGACCAGCAGCCTCAAGTGCTTTGCGGAGACGCCGAACAAGCGCAACAAGCTGACCATGATTGTGGAGCCCATGGAGAAGGGTGAGCTGAGCTGGCGGCAAGGCGAGGAAGAAAGAAAGAAACAAGAAATCAAGGGGCGGAAAAGCACGCATCACGTCCACCAGCTGGCCTGCCTGGCTGACATGCTATGAGTGGGCCGTGGGCTTTGCTTGAGCGCCGGCTGGCGCGAGGTGCTCACGGCTGTCCTTGTCGCTCGCCGGTGGCGCAGGGCTGGCTGAGGATATTGAGGTGGGGCGGGTGAGCATGGAGTGGAGCCGCAAGGAGCTGGGCGCTTTCTTCCAGCAGAAGTACGATTGGGACCTGCTGGCGGCACGTGAGTGGTGGCGGCTCTGGCAGCAGCTGCGCTTCTTGCTGCCGGCTGCTGTGTCTGTATTGTTGGCTGGTTTGTTGTCAGGTGTGTGTTGTGTGTGTGTGTGGGGGGGGGGGGGTT